GGTAAATAAATAACCCAGTGGGTAACTTACCTTGCTACTAGAATGTGGGTAGGGACCATGGAAGAGTCAAACATTTGTTGTGTATGTTCCAGCGAACCTGCCTTCTGCTTATGGGTTAGACTAAATGGCTATTCCAATCCTTAAATTCAGTGATTCTGGGTCACCATTGTATTTCCTCCTGCCCCCAATGCCTAGTACAGTGGTTTACACCTTGAGGCACATGTTACACATTTAATTATTCTGCTCATGTCTCTCTCTCTCTCTCTCTCACACACACACACACACACACACACACGCACAGCAACCTTCCCCCTAGCAATGGTCATGTGAGCAGGTTACTTAACCAGGAACTCAGAGCAACAAGACACTTCATGAACTTGACTTGTCCCATTGCCATTTCTGGGCAAAAATGCCAACTCCAGATCCCCCTTCACCCACTTTCATCTCTTTCCATCCTCCCTACTGTTAAGCTGCCTTCTACCATCTGAAACGGCAGACAGTGAACTTCACCCTGCAAGATGTATTCTTGGAGAAGATGTCGTTAGAGATACAGAAGGCCCTCATTAGCACCTTCATTGGCTTAGAAAACATTTTTAATTTCGGTTTCCATAAGCATTTCTGACTGATTCATGGAAGACATTTGGTTCTTTGGAATATATTCCAACAAAGGAGTCAGATTACATTTTTTACAAGCCTTGACAAGAATAGCACTTTAGCAGTTTCCAGGGCATTTAACTACTGCATGGCCAGGTTCCTTAGATGAGCATAGTCAGTCTTCAGTCTTATTGCGTAGTCAGTGAACAGGGTGGACAGATCATAGAGTGATTCCAATTTAGAGCTGGTGCCGGTCTGATCCCACAAACGTTGGAGCCTAATACACTCCCTATCAACCAGGTTTTAAATCCTGAAGTCATCTTTGCCTCATTCCTCATCTTTATTTAATATGTAAGGGAACGCCAATGAAAATCAGTGGAAGGAACTCAAGATGTTTTGCCTAGAGAAGAGAAAACTGAAGGTAGAATGGAGAGGGCATGATGGCTGGCTCAGGTTTTTGAAGGCTTATCATACGGACTGAGGATTAGATTTTATTTTATTACTTTGTTCCCAGTCAGAAGGAATAGGAACAATAGATGGCAGTTGCAGAGGGTCAGGATTAGACTTAATATCAAGAAAAGTTTCCTAACCATGAGAAGTATTCCAAAGTGCAATGGGTTTTGGGAGATGATAAGTCCACCCATGTTGGAGATCTTCAACAAGATCCTGGATTGCTACCTCTCAGGATATGTTGGAGTAGGGATGCTTTAGAGGGGTTAGGTTGGACAAGATAGCTGAAAAGGTTCCAGCCCAACTCAAAAAGTATAGTTCTATGATATGCGTTCGTTCAAGTCCTCGGAATTTTTTCTTTCAATAAACGTCATATTCATCTGTTCTCCATTCTCACTGCAACCACACTTGTCCAGCCCTTTATCTTTTCTATCTGGTTATTCCAATAGCCATGCAGCAAGCTATCTCTCCCTCATCTTTCTCTCCCCCAAACTAGCTTGGGCCCAATCTTCACATTACTTTTCTTGATCCAAAATTTGGATCCTGTAGCTTCTCTGCTCAAAGCCAACCCTGCCTTCCTGCCATAAAGATAACCTGGTACCATGCAAAGTATATAAAGCTTGGGCTTTGAGTCCCAACTCCACCACTTTTTAGCTACGTAACCATGGGCAGTTTCAATTTCCTCATCTGGGTACCTTCCGCACGGAGTCTTTGCAAACTTGCAAGTGCCACACATGTGGTAGCTATTAGGATTAGCCTCCCTTCCTCCTCTGTAAAATGAGGGGCACCTCCAAAATGAGGGTGCTTGCACCTCTAGCTCACAGAGTGGTGAGAGGAAAGACCTTGGCATACTATCTGACTTTAGACTTGGTTCCATCTGCCTTGTGGCCAGACCCTGAGGCACAAGGGATCTTTCCCCAAACTCCTGTGAGAGTTGTCTCCCCCTGTTTGAATGGGAGCTCTTTGAGAGCAGGGATGCCTGTTTGTCTCCCCAGCACTTAGCACAGTACTTTGCTCATTTTTTCGTTCAGTCATTCAGTTGTGTCCAACTCCTCATGACACCATAGACCATAGCACGCCAACACAATCTATGGGATTTTCTTGGCAAAGATCTTGGAGTGGTTTGCCGTTTACTCCTCCAGTGGATTGAGATAAATAGACTTTAAGTGACTGGCCCAAGGTCACACAGCTAGTAAGTGTCTGAGGTCAGATTTGAACTTCCTGACTCCAGGTCCACTGCTGCATCCACTGGGCCACCTAGCCGTCTCCTAAGTAAGTGTTTAATAAATACTGTTAAATTAATTCATTTATTTGTTCCTTAATTCATTGATTTATTCATTCAAGTTGGAGAAGCTTCATCCCAACCCTCATATCCAATCACATGCAAAGTCTTGTCAACTCTACATTGACTATTTCTAACCCGGCCCCTTTCTACTTATAAGGCTGCCACTCTAATTCCTCACTCTAGTATAGTGGAATGAAATGATAGACCACTGCTTCTGGGATATCACATTGGCATTTGTGTGGAGGATGGAATGGAGTGGGCCATGTCTTTATTCCCCCTCACCTGGACTACTGTAATAGCCTCCTAATTGATCATCCTACATTCAGTCTACCCCTGGTACTTGAGTGGTAAAATCAACACGCTGTGGTAAGACAAGAGTCTTTGTTGCTCCCACCAGCCCTGAGTCTTTACTATTCCTCTGCCAAAGTTTTGTCATCTGTGAAATGAGAATAATGATGCCTCCACAAAAAAAAAACATAACTTCATGGGGTTATTGTAAGGATAAATGATAGAGCTGGGTGTGCTCTGGAAAGTTAAAGGTGCCATCTATGTAAAGGTAAGAGAGACATTATATTATCAGTTAAAAAAAGACAAATGATACTGTATATTTTATAATTCCAAGTCATACTGAAACTGAGTCATGACATAAACCAAAGTTTATTTCCCTAATACCTGCCTATGTCCTACCTGTTTAATTTGGGTAGATAAAATGTTCCTCTTGCCAAAAAGAAAGAAATCTGACGCATCTAACTTACAGGGAATCAAAGAGTATTAGAATCTCTGAGCTGGAAGGGGCTTGGTGGCCATTTAGTCTAAGTAGGGTTTTGTTCAGTCTTTTCAGTCATGCCTGACTCTCTGTGACCCCATTTGGGGTTTTCTTAGCAAAGATACTGGAGTGGTTTGCCATTTTCTTCTCCAGCTCATTTCACAGATGAAAAAACTGAGTCAAATGGAGTTGTGACTTGCCCAGGGTCACCCAGCTAGGAAGTGTCTGAGGCTAGATTTGTTTTTTGTTTTTTTTAGGTAATTGGGGTTAAGTGACTTGCCCAGGGTCACACAGCTAATAAGTATCAAGTGTTTGGTCTGAGGCCGGATTTGAACTCAGGTCCTCCTGACTTCAGGGCCGGTGCTCTATCCATTGTGCCACCTAGTTGCCCCACGAGGCTAGATTTGAACTCAGGAAATGAGTCTTCTTTATTTCAGGCCCAGCATTCTATCCACTGTGCCACCTAGTCTATGTATACACAAATAAAACTACTCTGGAAAGAGATTTCTTAAAGGTATTAATCCTCCTAGCACTATCACCACTCACAGCACCTAAGCAAATGGGTGACATTGGATCATATCACCTTAGATTTAAAACTGGAAGGGATTTTGAGGCCACTGAGTCCCCCTTTCTCCTTTTACAAATGAAGAAACTGAGGCCCAGAGAAAGGAAGTGACTTGTCCAAGGTCACAGAGCTAAGAAGTGGCTGAGGCAGTCTTCCTGACTCCAAGCCTGGTAGTACTCTACCCACTGTGCCAACTAGCTAGAATAGGAGAAAAAAATATTATCTTGAAGTTCTTATGTTTTTGGCTAGTCACAGGATCCAGAGATGGAAAATATCTTGAAAATGATCTGGTCCTCCCCACTCAATTTAAAGCTAAGGAGACTGAGGTCCAGAATAGTGAAATAAACTGGTCACAGTCCTAAAGTTAGTACTTTCCAGAAGTGTACTCCCTCCAATGACTCCAAGTCAGTGTGGCTTCCAGTGGTATGATAAGTAATTACTACATTGGAAGTAAACAGCAGCAGGAGTGGAGACAAGAAAGAAGAACAAATTCATTCAGGGTATGATCTCTGGAGGAAGAGCAGGTAGACTGGGGGCTTTTGAAGTTTATTAACTATTGAAGGCAAAGAAATGCCCCTTGGATGAGGTCACCACTGCTGTGGCATGGGAGCACAGAAAACAAGGGAGAAGCACCCCAAGATGATGTTCCTAGCACTCTCTAAGTTTTCTGCCCTGGAGCCAAGCCCCGCTGTCTCACCTTTCTTACCCTTTTGGTTCATTCCATTGTGTACGATTCCAGATATAGAGCTGGGGGGCACATTATAGGTTGTTTAGTAACCCCCTCATGTAACAAATAAGGTACTGAAATCAAGAGAGATTTGGCAGCTAGGTAGCTCAGTGGATAGAGCGCTGCATCTGGAGTCAGAAAGATCTAAGTTCAAATCCAGCTGCAGGCACTTACTAGATGAGTGATCCTGGGTAAGGCACTTGACCTCAATTTCTTCAGCTTTCAAAACAGGGATGATATCTACCTTCTACGGTTGTTGTGAGGATCAAATGAGGTAATATTTGTAGTGCACTTTGCAAACCTTAAAAGTACTCTATAAATGCTAGATTATCATCAATATTAACATTGCAAGTTACTTGCCTAAGGTCACACATGTAAGTAAGAAGCAGAGGTAATATTTGAACTCAGTTCCTCTGAGTCCACATCCAGTATAACTTCTACTATACTAAATTGCCTTAAATGAGATTATTGTCAAATCCCTATGCAGCTCCAGTTTTCAATGAAATCTTGCTTTTTTCTTTAAAGATCGGCTGACAAAGGCATCTAGCACAGCCCCCTCCCCTACCTATACACTCACCTCTGCCCCCCCCCAACAAGGTTTCTCTCAGCTTACCTGTTTGGTTGATGGCTTGCTGCCAGTTTTCACGTGCAGTGATACTGTCAACAAATACAACAATTGGAAGTCAAAAGAGGAATTGAAATAAATGACACCCAATGTATTTTTAGCTAGGCAGACAACATGATGACAAGTCCACATGTGGACTTCTTTCAGAGCGAATTTTCAGGATCCCAAATCATGTCAGCAGAGACAAAATTCATCATTTCTATTTTGAACCACACTTAATTCACTGCTTAAGCTCTGATGTTAAACAATCATAGTGTAGTAATTTATAAATCGCTGAAAAATTCTTCCCCCTCCCACCCCGCCCCCAACTCTGACTTCACAGTGCAAATTAAGAACTAGCTGAGATCCGACAGTGTGGTGTGGTGCTTTAGAGGCAGAGGCAACAGCATCAGTGGCATCAACTCACTTGCACTTTATTCTCTTAGAGAGTTACCTAGAGTGCCCTAGGGATTTGAGGCAATTCTGTGAGAGATTCTGTGACTTCCTAAGATCACACAGTTCATATGGAGGACAGGCAAAACTTGAACCCAGGCCTTCCTGACTTCAAGACCAGCCCTCCATCTACTGTGCCCCACTGCCTCTATGTTTCACATTCTGTGATCAAGGGCTATAGTGGCATAACCCAATAAGCCCAATAAGGTTAAGAACCTGAGCTCCTTGACCCTTTTAAGATAGACGTATAGATAGACAGATAGATAGATAGATAGATAGATAGATAGATAGATAGATAGACAACTGTTTTTCAATATAATCGGTTTCCTTTATAATTCTATGTATTTTATTGTTTAAAAAATACTTCAAGAATGGGGACTCTAGGTTCAATCACTAGATTGCCAAAGGGATCCATGACACACAAAAAGAGATTAAGAACCCCTGCACTCGGGAGAATGGGATTATATTGAGGGTGTATAAATAAGTCAAGTCTCTCTAAAGGCAACTCAGGTTTAAACCTGAAACAACTAGTTTCTCCACTGAGCCCCACTCCCAATTCACACCAATGTGGAAAGAGGGGTTTGATGGGGGTGGGACTGAATATCCTTAACTCCCAATCATAGAAGACCCCAATGTATCCACAGCAAGTATAGAAAGAAACACTTACAAGAAACCAGAGTCCAACCACTGCCGTATGCTTTCTTGTCTAGAATTCTCTAGAAAGGAGAAAAAAATGAACAAAACAGTTAGCCTCCAATACCAGAAAGAGCAAAGCTGAGAGTTTTCCCCATCCTTGAGCCCTTTGGCAACAGCCGTATTTTTATTCTCTTTCCAACATATTTCATCTTATTTTTCTATAAACATATTAAATATTTCCCCCCAATACCCAAACCTTCACGTTTGCTGGAGCCAACCTTTCCCGGGAACGGAATGCAAACTGGCAAAGGGAGGCATGTGTCTTGCAGAGGAAAAAAAAGTTCTAAAATAAATAAATAAATAAAGCAGGGCATGGATCCTGAAATCAAGGAGGAAGTTCTAATTCATTTCAGATTACCTGGCAACAGCACAAAGATAGAAAAAGCATAAGGGCCTTTTGTCTTTTGCCTTTGCAATATCAATTGCAGTCCTCACCTTCCCCACCCTGGGCCTCTGCCTACATCATCAGGACATTTACTTAAGGCACCTTGCCAGCAGTGTTTATTTGCAAGCCACTCTGTGCCAGACTCTCAGTCCCATTTGCATTTACTCCAGGGACAAAAGGTGAACAGCTCAGCTGCCTGGTGATTCCAAAACCTGCAGTGACACCCCGGACGTCAAGTTAGGTCTCTCATTCAGAAGGAAGCTCACCCTAGCTCCAGCTAATGAACAGGTGGCCCAAAGGATAGGGTTGGGTAAGGAGAACCTCTCCCATTCAATATTTGTCTCTGCCCTGGTTGTCTACCAGCTGCTGAATTGGTTTGCTAAGGCTCCCTCCTGCCAAATGCTACTTGCTTTCACTCCTTGTGAGGGGTGGTGAAAGACTGTCAGACTGGAGAGGATCCTGCCCGTCTCCCAAGGAGGTATTGGGAGTGGGCTGATTTAAGCAGAAACCCCCAAATGTCTGTTCCTTGTACAGAAAAGAAGACGTAGTATATTATTGCTGTCATCAACTTTTCTGTGAGTGTCTATGGTGTGCCTGCTATTGCATTAAGAACTCTGTCATCTTCTCCCTGTGTGACCTCGTGCAAGGCAGTTAAGCTCTGCAGACTTCTGTTTACTCAGCTATAAAGTGAAAGGGGGCTAGATTGCCACCAGTGTCCCTTCTGGCTCCGCATCTATGACTCTGGGATCCTAGAAATCTGGAAGAGGCATTCAGAGTCCCACTCAGAGGGGATGTTCTGCTCACTGCCCCATCTCAGCACCTGGAGCCTTAAACACCCACCTTTTTACAATGTAGGCATGGTTCCAGTAAGGTGGATTCCTTCTGGAGCAGTAGAGAAAAATCACCCCCAAAAACCTTACTGCCAATGCCAGCAAAGGAAATTGGGAAGATCTGGCACCATCTTATTTGCCCCCCAATTCCAGCCGTCTCAGGGCCAGTGCTTACCTATTTCTGGGATGGGAGAATTCTGGCTTTTCTCCTTGGGGGGAGGGGGCTGCTGCTCATCGAGAGGAAGCCAAGCACTCTTAGTGGAGAGCAGAATCTCTCTCTTCTTTTCCAGGCTGTGGGACATCCTGAGGCCACTGGATTCTTTTGCCATCTTAGGGGAGTAAAAAGGCCAACTCACAATAATTGGAACACTGAAGCAAATAAACCAACCATCACAGGGAGCCAACTTTGAGGACTTTCTGGGGCTGCAGGGAGCACACAGAGTCCTTGCCCACAAAGGAACCAATCCAGCTTTGCCAGCTTACCCTGCCCACCTGGCAGCCAGGCTCTCAGAAGAAAAGACAGTAATCCAGCCTTAAGCTAGCAAACAAGGCAGGAGCTGGACAGCAGGCCCCTGCCTGGGAGCCACCACGGCCAAGCTTCAGAGCTCACGCCAGGGTGGAGGCATGACGGGTCACATTAAAGAGGCCAGCCTGGCCATGATCTATGTATTTTTGAAATCAGTGGTTGAATGGAAGCAGTGACAGAGTGATGAGAGTGTTAGAGACTTTAGGGACTGTGGGAGTTATGGTGGGTGCCAGGGCGAGGCAGAGGGGGCAGCCTACTTTACTTTCATTGCTCTTATCCTCCCAGGTCTGCAAAGGCCTTTCTTCCCAATAACCCTGTGACGGAGGTGGTGAAAGTACTTAAACCCCACATTTTATAGATGTAGAAACCGAGGCTCCAGAAGCGAAGTGAATTGCCCATGGATGCCCAACTGGTGCCAGAGACAGGATTTTAACCTGGGAATCCTCACTTCACATTCTTTGTTCATCTGACTAAAGCTGGCTTCTCCCTCCCCCACCCTCTGTGATATGGCATGCCATGCTTTCTAGCCTACAGATCACTCTTAGAACCATCTCACAGGTGATGTCTTACCTCATCGGTGAGGTGGGAAAGACACATGATTATTGTCAATTCCCAGATGAAAAAACTGATAAGGCCCTGAATAGATAAATAAATTACCTGGTCAAGGTCATGTTACTTTTTATAATAATATTAGCTAGCATTTATATTGTATTTTAAATTTTTCTTTTTTTCCTTTTTTTTTTTTAGGCAATTGGGGTTAAGTGACTTGCCCAGGGTCACACAGCTAGTAAGTGTCAAGTGTTTGGTCTGAGGCTGGATTTGAACTCAGGTCCTCCTGACTTCAGGGACGGTGCTCTATCCACTGCGCCACCTAGCTGCTCCCTTATTTTAAATTTTTCAAAGCCCTTTCCATACACTGTCTCACTTGATCACCACAACAACCCTAAGATGTAGATGTTATTGCTATCCCCATTTTTAGATGAGAAAACTGAGGCCATCAGTCACATACCTAGTAAGTATTTGAGATAGGATTTGAACTCAGTATTTCCTGACTCCTAATCTAATGCTCTCATCAACTGTACCACCCAGCTGTCTGTGATGCCTGGACCAAAATCCTGAGAGGCAACCAAGTGTACTGGAGAGAATGTTGGGCTCCGAGGCAAGACTATCTGAGTTCAAATCAAGCAACAAACATTTCCTAAGCGTGTTCTGTTTGCTGGGCACTGGGCTAGGCACTGGCAATACAAAGACAAGTGACCTGATACCTGGCCTCAGGGATCTTCCATCCTAACAGGGAGACAGTATGACAAGATGAATGTATACCCACAAAAGACACAAAATGAATACCAGGCAGCTGGGGAAGGGCACTAGCAGCAGGCAGGACTTTTTCTGAAGAAGGTAGCACCAGCTGAGTCTTGAAGGAAACCCAAGCGGAATTTCAAGAGACAGAAGCAAGGAACCAATCCCACCTCTGACACTAGCTGTATTATGTGGGCAAGTCACTTAACATCTTTCATCCTCAGTTTCCTCCTCTGTCAAATGGGGATAATCATAGTACTAACCTCATAGGATCATTGTGGGGAACAGGTAATAGCAGGTATATAAAGTATTCTGCAAAACTTTAAGATGTTATACAAATGTGAGATGATATTGTTAACTCCTCCAGCCCTGCTCTACCAGCATACCTACTCTGCCCCTAGATTGCAGTGACCTTGGCCAAATCACTTTGTACTCATTTTTACAGATTTTTTCCCATTGGCAAAATGAGGTTTTTGGAAGACCAGATTTGCAGATCTGGAATTAGATGAGTTTATAGTCATCAAAAATGCTTTTATTAGTTGATCTGTGTAGTGGACCCTAGTTTGATTCTTGGGAGAACTAGATCACGGGGTTTAATTCATGCATAAATCATTAACCCTCACTCTGCTCTGTGGCCACAGACCACTCATTAGCTAGAATGTGAAAGAAAGAGCCCTGGGTTTGGAGTCAGAGATCTGGACGCCATTTCTGGCCCTGGTACTTACTTCCCTGTGTGAATTCAGTTGGTCTTGAATGAACTCCCTTAGAGCTATTCGATCCATATATGTATAGAAGGAGGTCTTCAACTCATTTCATAGAATCTTTTGTGGGGAAAATGGGAGGTTATGGAAGGATGTAGAAATGAACTATACAGGAAAGGAAGCAAATGTCTAGATGAGGGAATTAGAGCTGGACAGAACCAAAGAAACCAAAGAGCCCCAGGGGGATGAAGCACTGGCCTGAGGTCACACTAATAGTCAGCTAACAAAGCTAAAGAGTGGCACTGAGCTCTAGGCTTGGAAGTGGCTATGAACAACTAGAGAGAACCAGTATAGAGCCCAGTGTGAAGTAAGGATGGTGGACTTCAGCAGATGGTCTCTGTCCAGGGTCCTTATGTCTCTAACCTTGGGCAGAGGAGCTGCAACACAGAGCACAGAGGCCTGTTGTTCCACTAAGACATGCTGAGCAAATGTCCCCAAAGAGGACAACAGTATCCATTACACTACAACAAAATGTTTATGTTTGTAATTAATCCTAATAGCATACGTAAATGCCCAGTGCATAGTAGATGCTTAATAAAAGAATGCTGACTTGACCAGTGATAATTTGCGTGAGTGTAGCATACTACAGTTTTTAAATGACCCTTTTGATCTTCACAAGGATGAGCAAGGAGTATCATTCTCCATTTGGAGATAAAAGGATTCAAAAGTTACGGTATTGTAGGAACTCAGGATCTGAGTTCATACCCTGGCTCTGCAATTTACTCCCTGGGCCAAGTTACTTCACCACTCTGGGCCATTTCCCCCAGTTGCAAATGAAGGGCATTGAGTTAGCTGCCCTCTATGGTCCCTTGGCACTCTAAACTTTAGTCCAAAGGCCTCTCAGGAGAGATTACAGATCTAGAAGCGCAAAGCACCTTAGAGACCATCTAGGCCAACCCCCTCATTTAAGAGAAGGAAACTGGACCCAGGGAGACAAGGTTACATAGTCTAAGGCTACAGAATTTATAAGTGGCAGAAGCCAGATTTCAACTCCACTTCTCTGACCCTAAATGCAGAGCACCCTAACTTTTGTGGTACCTTTCAACTCTAAGTTCAGGATCCTGCTTACACAAGTTTGTCGTAAAGGATCGAATGTGTTATAAACTCAGCTCCTCTGATGGCAAACCCAACATTTTTGCCACTTTGCCACCATGACTTCCAAGAAATATCATCCCCATTTTATGAATGAGGAAACTGAGGGGCAGTGAAGCGATAGGAGTTGTCCAAAACTGTGAAGCCCAGGTTTCTTTGCAATATACTCAGTTTTGAAAGTCTTTATTGTAACAAGAAAGAAAGGGGAGATTTTGTTTAAGTTACAGAGCAGGGAGAGGGCAGAAGGCAGGTGCATGGGCAGTTCCCAGCAGCCCTTTTGCCTTCTCCACTCTTAGTTCTGAGCAATAGGCACCCTGCCCTGGCCCGCCCTTCTCTTTCCCACTTTTTTTCCTTTCTGCTCAGCAGTAACTCTATCCGGCCACACAATGGGCATTGGCCCAGTGCCAGCATTTCACAGCCACTGAGAATGTGTTCTCTGTTTGATCTGTTTTATTTGCCCATAAACCAGGAACCAGGCCTGCCAACCAAAGCTGGAAGCCTTGCTGAAGCAAAAGGCCTAGGACACACTGGAGAGGAAAGAAAGATTCTTTTGTTCTCTCTCTTTTACTGGCCTTTGCTCTGGGGAGGAAGTCAGCCTCCTGGAGACCAGGTTTACTGCTTTTTTTTTTTTACCTCAGTTTACCTGGCCTCCTGGTGGTCCAACATGAGACTCCTGTGAAGGAAAGGCAAGGTGAAAACCATGGAGAACTTCATCCAGAGGATTATGAATTTCCAGCTGGAAGGGATCTCAAGGGCCTGCAACTCTGACCTCCCCAAGGTCACACATCAGATCATAGACTTAGGGAAGAAAGGGACATTAGAGATCACCAGTTTGAACCCTTTTACAGCTAATCATAATTAATAATAATAACTATACTAACAAGGATTGTAATATAGCACTTTAAAGTATGCTGAGAACATTATAAACACCATTTCGTTTAAGCCTCACAACAAACCAGTAAGTTTCAACAGGTCTCATTTAATCATTTTACGGGTGAGAAAACTGAGGTTCAGAAAGGTTAAATGAATTGCCAAGGATCACACAGATAGAAATAACAATAATATAGTACCTGGAGCTTTGCACATGTTTTCTTTTTTGATCCTCACAATAACTCTGAGAGAGAGGTACTATTATTGTCTCCATTTTACAAATGAGGAAACTGAGGCAGACATCTATTAAGTGATTTACCCACGGTCACAGTTAGCAAGTAACTGAGAACAGATTTGAACCCAGGTCTTCCTGACCCCAAGGCCAGCATTTTCTTTGTTAAGTCACTGTGCCTTTATCTATCCTAAGGATGTAGAGTTCTTCATTTGCATCAAGGGCTAAGTTGGGATGCGGTAGCTTCAGCGTTTTCATGGTTTCCCTAATTCTTCTCTTTGCTCACATTCTTTCCTTGAGTGAGAATGCACCAATCTTTTCTCTGTGTCCAACAAACTCCACTTATACTTCAAAGTCAAAACAAAATTAGAATCTCCTTCAAGACTTAGCTCCAATCCTACCTTCTTCAAGAGACTTTGCCAGTCCATCAAGCTGCTACTCCTTTTCCTCTGAGATTACATCCTAGCTATACTATTTGCATCTTATATGGATCCAGTCACTATGCATCCTCCATTGAAATGTGAGCTCCCTGATAACAGGAATGGTTTCTGCCTTTCTTTGTA